GCCTCCAGGGGATAAAATCAGCAATTTATGCAACACAAGCCCTTATTAAGGACTGGTTCATAGGTGGTCTGACCTAATGGTTAGGCCACTGAGAGAAGGCAGAGGCGAGGGGCTGGGTCAGAGTTTGGGAGCCAAATTAGCAGGTCTGGAGGGAAATCCAGGGACAGAGTCCAAAACACAGTCTACAATCAGGGCTTGGGACAGAGGAGAAATCCGACGCTCAGTTACCAAGTCCAAGATAATCCATAGGCCAAAGCCTGAGAAGTGAGTCAAACCAGCATCAGGAGCCAAGAAAGCCAGAAAGCACAGAAGCCAATTGGCTTGCCAAAGCAGACCAGTGCCAGAACTGGTGACTGGTCCAAGAGTCTGCTGCCACAGCCGGTATTAAATCGATAGGCAATGATCCCAGCAGCGAATCCAGAAGCCAGTCCGTTAACTGGAAAAGAGCTTGTCAGCCAGAGACTCAAAGCAGGTGTGGCTGCCTAAGCAATTAATCCAGACTGAGCTGCCTGATTAGGGTCCCTGACACCCCCTGCCTGAGGCAGGATCAACCCCATCCAAACCATCCCACACAAAGTCTTGTATTATTACTAAAACTACGGAGTCAACCCTCTCACACAGAGTACAAGGCACAACACCCAGCTTGCCACAGGTAAAGCAGGGCACTTACTGCTGTTGTTCACCTGCTGCTGCAAGGATTGTTAAAATATGCTCGAGATGGAAGAAGAGGCCCATGACTCTTTCAAATCAGGCTCTCTAACAAAAAGTAAAAAAGTTCACATACCTTTCAAATGTTTTTGATCCACAAAGATCTTCACTGTACTCTCTTTTGCTCCAGCACTCAGATATGTTACTCTTTTCCACTTTGTTTTCCTTTCAACATCCTTTAGTCCTCTAGGAACTCTCTGTAAAAACAAAGTATACTTATTTTCTTATCTAAGTAAGAGTAACATTTGTGCTTTATAGTAGCTAATTTCTAGCAGACACACTGTATTTTCAGACTATCTATTGAAAACATAAAACAAAGGGATTGAAGGAAACAAAAAGGAACACACATTTCTCTAGCAAGTAAGATCAATATTCTACCACTAATATACAAACTTTGCAGTGAAGAAAATAATTTTGGACCATATATATATTTAAATAAAACAGTCGGTGGACTTTTTTTTAATTTCTTGGAATGAGAATGGCTTTATTTTCATTTTGGATGGCAGAAGGTACTGTCAACAGGAAAATAAATTCATTTACTACAGCTTACTTTACAAAAACATAGCTCTCAAAAAATAAAAAAAGATGAATGAACCAAGTTTAGCATAAGAGAACTTATGTTGTTGTTCTTATGTTCTTGTTCTAAAGCGCAAGATGAACCAGTCCTTACTCCAACCTCAACAATGCAGAAAGGCTCCATTCCTTTGCATTTTCCTGCTGGTTTCGCCTTATGGTACCTCATTAGCAACACCAAACATACTTTAGCCTAAATCTTATCCTCAAAACTAGGGTTTATTTCCATAATGTCTTAGTTCCCTCAGATGAAAGAGAGAAAAATCTATATCCTTTATTTCTAATGAGACTTATTTGGGATAACTCACCAGTAACTTCTGAATATTTATGCAGAACTTTAGTTGTTCAGAAAAAAACAACCTTCCTACACTGGGTCTAAGAATCTATGTAACCTGCTACCTTGTTACAGGCAGACCACCTATGTAGCAACCTTTTGTAACACTATAACGTGTGTATATAGATTTGTATAATGCTTACCAACAGGGTAAAACAAGGAATTATTCCATTATGACTTGTCATAAATACGCAGTAAATGTTTTGAGTATTGTGCAACATCATAATTACACCCAGAACTAAGATAAACATCTGGACTAGGATTTTCAAAGAAGCCAAAGCTTGAAGTATCCAACTGCAAAGCCCTCTTGGCAACCCCAATTGCTAGTTCAGGTTCAAGCAAAAGATCAGGGTCTCATTCATTAAGCACTGTACATACCACTGGTAGGACTCTAGAGTCTGGGTTACAACAAGATATTAAAACCAAATGATACAAACAAATGGCAGGAAGAGAAGGAGAGATAACAACATAAATGTTCTCGTGCCCTAACTGCTATCAGAGGTAGTGTTTTGTTGACACTGGGGCAGAGAAGAAACTTAAGAGGGAATAAGGAAGACATGATAGCAGTTTTGTGGATCATCTCATGTGTTCTGTCTACCAATAAATAAAGGCAGAAAAGTACCTTAAATAAAGAGAAAAGGCAAGCTAATCTCAAAGCTTACCTTTCAAAACATTCCTCATTTTATTATTCTGAAGTTATATCTATTCTATAGAAGTTGTGTCCTTTTACTTTTCTTTGCAAATTGTTTACAGCCATAATAAAGCAGCATGAAACTGAGCAAAAATATTTTCAGTAAAAGAATAAAACCCACATCATTTCCAGTTCTAATCTAAACAATCTTTTTTTGCTGCTGGATTCTGGGGCTCTCATGTTTTGCAGTTCACATTAAGGCCTTAACCAGTAAGACTGGCAAGATGAAAATGCAATAAAGACAGATACCAGATAGACAAGTCTGTGCTAAGACACAAAAGTTAACTCACAAGTAAAAACAACAACTCTGTGCCTGATGCAGTGAAAAAGGAAAAACCAGGTGAGAGGCAAAAAGGAGAATGATCTGATCAAAGGGTGCATCCACACATGCAAGCATGTGCCTTGCAGCAGCTCAAATAGAAGGGGTGGAAATTTGAGCCACAGCTTTTTGCCTTGGCGCATGTACTCGGACATGCATTTTGTTGTGGAGCAAACTGTGCCACTTGGGGCAAAATAACCCTGCCTGGCTCCTCCCGGATCTGCAGCCAGGCTGCTAGAGCCTGGAGCCAGCACCTGTGCCATCCCCAGCAGTATAAAAATCTGCCCTGTTTTCCTGGCCCCATCCATATAAAAAGCTGCCCTGGTAAGCAGCTCAGGGCTACTCACTCTCAGGAGCTTCTGGGGCCTGGCCACTTGGTACCTAGGGACACTACCCCTTGTGCCAGCTAGACTGCTGCAGCAGCATCCCAAATCCATTTTTAAAAATACCCCAAAATCCATGTTATTCCACCATAAAAACTGTCACGTGGTATGTAGGTTTACGCTATGGAGAAAGTCTGAGTTTCTTACTACTTATTTTAGCATAAATCTCTTCTAAAATCATAGAAGGGCTTGGTTGTGTTGTAGGGTTCAGTTTACTGTAGGAATTTTTACAGATCAAAGCTTTGCTGGGTCCTGCCAGCCCTGGGGACTGTCTGTCGCCCAGCAGGGCCTGACCCTTGATGGCAGACCAGGTGCGGCACATGGGGACCATGTGCCAGTCCCAGCCGGGTCCTGGGGTCTCTCTGCTGCCCAGCTGGGCAGCAGGAGCAGCCCCAGGGCCAGCAGGACCCGGCGGGCACGGCATGCGGTCCCCACACAGCGTGCTGGGTCTGCCACCAAGGGCCCGGCCGGGTGACAGACAGTCCCCAAAGCCAGCAGGACCTGGCTGGGCCAGGTACATGGTCCCCGTGTGCTGCGCCGGGTCCTGCCACCATGACCCAACCTGGCCAGGTGGTAGAGAGGTACAAATAGCGGTAGCACACTAACCCTAAACAAGGCATGTAAAAATGGCTGAAATTTTGGTTTCTACCTCATGAATGTGGACAGTGATGGCCACATAGCTTCCTTGCAAATTTCTTTCCCTGGTGTAATGTCCTCTCTGCTGACTACTATTTCAGTGACCTGCTGTGAAAGACTTTAGTTCTATTCAAAGTACAATTTACCTAATGCTTTACATTCCTAGATCTATTCCACTAAACATGGGTATTTTCCACATTTTTCTCCTTGGCTTTCAAGTAAAAGGAAACACAAAGCACTGCTCTAGTTTTGTTGTGTTTTATACAACCTACAGTGCATACTTTTTCATGACTTGTGCCAAAGCTCAAAAAGCCCCCACAAAACATGAGACTTCTCAAAGGAAGTGTCTATAACTGAAAACTCTTATACTGTTTTAAGAACCGTCTTATCACCACAAAACACAATGCAGACTCTTCCGTAGCAAGAGTAAGTTCTGAAACATAAATAGATGTCACTGTAACCAGAAAAGAAGTCTTAAGAATGAAAACAAGACCAATACCAGAAGTTGCAGACTAAGCTGAGATATGAAATTTTTTTTTTTTTTATTTTAACACAAGAGCTGCATTTGAATGACTCCCTAGTTAGCCAGACTCAGCAAGAATTCTACTATCAACTCTCCAAGCAACCAGATTTCAATAACTGGCAACAAGATAGAAATGGTGTCTTTACAACAAGAAGAATGAATACCTGAAGAAACACAGGCTTTTTGTATTACAAATAACTCTTGGAAAAGGATGTTAAGCACTTTTGGCCCCTTTAAACTAAAGGCCATACATCAGTTCAAAGAGCACTCTGTTTAGTTAAGTGACTCACTACTTAACCAGTTTTCTTGTGGTTAGGTGTTCTTTGATATACAATATTACACACACCAGGAGAGATTTTTCTTTCCCATGATGAAAAGAACACCCTCGCTGGTGGCCAGGACACTAAAATGCTGTGTTGTTTGGTAATGGAGATCACTATAGCATGTTGGGATACCCAGCAGACTTCCATCCATTGTGTTTGTTTGTTTTTTCTGGATAGGAAAAAATTGCCACTAATTGTCTGGGCCTCCTGGATCATCGCTGGAGAGGAGGAATGTACTAGGGACTTGCACCTCCTTGAACACCACTTTCAGAGAACAAATCCAGCAATTTAACAAATCTCAGTATCTGATGCACAGATGTGCCCAAGCTGATATTATAATGCATGAAGCCCATGAGAAGTTGAAATCAAAACAAACCTAACCACTCTTGCTCTGAACATCTGGTCAATTTGTTTAAACTTGTCAATGTTCTAAACTACCAGGAATACTCTTGCCTATCAAGTGTTATTTCTCCTTCCTGAAGTCAGACCCTGTTGAGCACAGAGACTTCTAGTTCAAACTCACAGTTATGTTATGCACTTACAGATTCTTGAGAGCTTTACTTAACATTTCTCGACTTCCTGGAATGATGCTATCCACATGCCCATTAAAAGGCAAATATGAACCCTGCATTCATACCATTAACATGCAAGTTAATGATACATTGCTGGTCTTTGGATTCTTATTTAGATCTGGTTACACCCTCAAATAAAAGATAAGAATAAAGCAGAATTAATGCTTCATTTTGGAGGGTCAGGATTTCCTATTCTTTTGATCTGTAATCATTTAAAATAGATCATCTGAAGCTATGAGAAGGAAAATGGCTAAAATCACTTGCATCCAACCTGCTTAACTTATTATGCATAGTACCTAGCATGTTCCTGCTCAGTTTCCAGTATTTTACTTTTCACAAGAAACACAATAGGCTCATCTACACATGCATTTAAGCATGACTAAATGTAATGCATATTGAGCGATTTTTGGCAGATGTCTACATGTGCAGGGACTTGGCACTAACTTTAGTCCCAAGTCCCTGGAACCCTGCCAAGTGTCCCTGTGGCCACTGGGGGGGGTGGGGGAGGGGGGAGTTCCAGCCTCCAGCCACATGGCTGCCAGCACTTGGCACCCATGTTGAAACCTGAGCCAACTGCCAACACATAGCAGCCATCTGGGAAACTCTAATCCCTGGCCAGTCCCTTACCTGCTCAGGACCCATGTGCCCAGCACAGGGGCAGCATGCAGCAGCTCCCTCCTTGCCCACCCTGCCTCCCTGCACCAGGGCTGCTCCAGCCCCTGCCAGCACTCCTCGCTCCAGCTGGCCCCGGTGCTGACCCTGCTTGCCTTAGCAGGCCCTCCCACACCCAGGCCCCAAGAGAGCCGCACACCCACCAGCAGGGGTCAGGGCACTGGCTGTGGG